AATATATATCACTGAATACCTAAAATTTTACATGAAAACGTGCGCAATCATAGACTATTTTTGGATGTTGATGAAAAAATCCATACAATCCTCAAATAAACTTCATTTATTTAAAACTTTTCCGTGTTCTGGCCCCTCAAAAACCACCCTGGTGAAATAAATACAACAACTTATAAATATCTCTTCTATTCTAAGATTCCTATGTCTGAACATTACTAGTACGCAATTTAACTTCACACAATTGTTGTGTGAAGGTAACATCAAGGCGGCTTCTGCAGAATGTTGTTGGATGTTTGGTCAACATCCCATCTCCAGAGTTAATGGTGTTTGTCCTGTTTGTTTGACGACGCTTAGCTAATTGTGTCCAGTTCCTAGGGCGAACTATCACACTTCTAATGAGTTTTAAAGGATGAAATGTTGAAGATGAAAAATTTCTAGCATTGAAAAATGTGCAGAAATAGTTGAGTACAATTGATTGAAGACTGTGTATATCTGAAAAAATCTATTACATTTTTCTAATTATTGTGTTAATAATATTATAATAGAGTTAATAGCTGGCTACATAATTGGTTATTTGGAATCAACCTACTTTTTAAGATTGATAATTATTTTGGCGTAATTGGATTGAGCTGTGTGTACGTGATGAAAATTGATTTGAAGCAATCAACATTTCGTAATGAGTAGTTCTATTGCATAACAATATTTATTCAAACTAAAAACAAAATATAGATTATAAATATATGTTTTAGGAATATATTTGTAGTTTATAAACTTTTATGACAAATAGGAAAATATATTTATACCCTGATCAAAACTTGTAAATTGCATATTAGTGGAGACAATTTAAACATAAGTTAATAAAGTATGCAACAACTAGATCATTGAATCTGTTTCATAATTTAATCACTTTTGTATACTTTTTTTACATTGCCTTCGTATTCCAAGGACACACATTGGGTAATTATAAAATAGGCCTAACCTTGAAATGGTTGAGTGGATCAATTAAGATTATATAAAACCTAACCTAATCATACAATCAATTTTATTACACTTGAACTGAACTCACATAAAATTACTAATTTTAAATTAGTCTACTAATATTAAAAAAACGTTCCAATATTATTTTAACTATAGTGTATACTCCGTTTTATTTATCAGATAAATTAACAAAGTATATTTTAGTATTATACTACAGAGTTATATTTAACTTATCCCGTTTACAATGTTGCCTTCGACCAAAACTCTCCCCAAACTTGAGATGTAATGAATATTTGATTCCCTCTCTTTGTTTTTGGAAGCGTTTCTCTTTGAAAAATAATAAACTCTTAAGTGTCTGTTCAAGATCTTGAGTTATACATTATTAGCATTTCCGTATGATGAATTCCAATTATCATTTCAAAGAATAACCTGAATAAATATTGTTGCTCCTGAGTAATATTTCTACCGTTTGGATTCTAATTTAATTCAATGTAAATAGGCAAATCTAAAGTTACATTTATAGTTTCATCATTCCATGAACCGATATGAGCTATAACTAAATAAAAGAAGGGAAGAGTGTTATGTGGTATAAAAAGATTTGTACATAGTTTTCTAACTCGGATAAAAGATCAATATATGAATAAATTAAAACAATTTTTATTAGACTTCGATAACTACAGGCTACAGAGCAAAATCTTCACCTGAATTGCAGCAAATTGTTTGCTGCTATTCAAATAAAACTATGGGAATATTCTAATATTCTTATTCATCCTGAATTAATATTTTATTTTAATATTTAATTAATATTTGTCAAAAAACCAAATAGGGATGTTGAAATCTTTTTACAATTAATCACAATTCGCATTACTTAAAATTATAGTATTAAAATTAGAACCCCTTTTATACGGCTTGGTGATGGGAAGTTGTTTAAAAAATACAGTTTAGGGATACATTGTATATCACTGGTTTATGTAAAATGAATTTTATGACTCGAATCTCACACTACTACACACCAAAAATAATATAGCCATGGATGAAAAAAAAATGAATGAATGATGAAGAAAAAAATTAAATAAAACACTCATAATGTGGTAATGATTATTTTAACAGCTGGACGTTCGTTCATGATATATTGAATAGTTTAAGATTGTGTACATATATTTTCTGAATTGTAGCAACATGGACGTGCACAGAAGCAATCTATGGCAGCCTTGTGTGTCAGATGTGTCATGTGTAGGTGTGTGTCAGGCCACGAGTGTCACCTACAGTATATTGATGTTGATATTGACCGTGTGTCAGCCGTGGTGATGACATATCACTCTCGACTTAATACATCTCCACTCTCTACTCTCCACTCACCAGGAAGTAATCCACAGAAATCAACCCTTCAGCTTTCCCACTTGATGCTACGTCCTGCGAAACGTGAACTAAATATCTTTTCATGACTCCGTACAGTAATTAGCTATTTTCGATAACAGCTGATATCAAAGGAAGTAATTGTTTCCCAATCCTTAATTTAGAGCTTAAAATCATCTGATTTCCCCTAGACACACTAATGTTTGTTTATAACTTATTTCAATATATTTAAATAAGACGTTTTTACTGTATTCCTACCACACATGTAAACAATATGTACGCATAACAGCTCGTTTCCATTTTCTTAATTCCTGTACGCTAAATCAGCTGATTTTACAGTTGGTGTTTCTATAAAACACCAGCATCCGTTAGGCAAAACATACTTCATGAATCTTTCCCTCATGTTAAAAGTATACTCCACTATGATGAATAATACCAATACCACCAAGTAACCACCACCAAGTAACCACCACCAAGTAACCACCACCAAGTAACCGACAAAGTAAGCCACCAAGTAAGTGGTGTTAAGTAATAGCACCAGTAACATATTGGAGGAAAAAAAAGATATGTTGAAAATATCGTAATTTACATTGATAAAATTTACAAAGTGGGGCTAGGGAAGTTATCAAGTTCGAGGTCATGTTTTATATAAATCAAAGCCGTAAAAACACATTTTTCTAAAAAAAAAAAAAAAAACTACGCATAATTGGTAGTCTTGAGGAATCTGATACAATTGTTCTTGACAAACTTAACTGTTTTAAAAATAATTAAATTATTGTTTTACTTCAACAGTTGAAAAATCTTAGGTTAAAAACAATGAGATACCAAGTTTATTATTAAAAGTGCGACAAAATAACGACACAAGGAAGGAAGTAATACTGTATTTGCGAGAAGCATCATGGCATTGGAGCATCACAAACTAGAGCTTAAGTTCAACATGGAAACTTATAGAAAATTCATGATCCCCAAGTGGGTGGGTGAGACAGCTTACGATGTAGTGAGCCGTGTTCCGGGTATCAGATAGACTGATACAAGTGTTATACATTGTGTTTTGTATTGTCATTTTATTTATTTTATTAGAGACGATGATAATTTTAATTTTAGAAAATTATTTGTTAGAAAATTTTATAAATGTCTTCAGTGCTTTTACGGTTTGTAAAACGGGTTCAAGATTATATCACAGCTTGTCAAAAACAGTTGTAAAGGTAAACAAAATAATAATACTGGTAATAGTCAAAGCTGATATTTAATAAAAGGTTATTTTGCCTTTATTCTGTTCAATGTTTCAGTAACCTATGGCCTATTATTATGGTTAGAGTACGGGACTCCAGTCCCTGAGGTCCTGGGTTCAAATTCCGCCAATCGCCAATGGATTTTATCTAAGTGATAATGCCGCAACCCCTAGGTTTAGCCTGAAGTAATGTAAAAACAATCCCGGGCTCGTGCCTAGCGTCCAAGGACAAAAAAATCATAGGGAGTCAGTACCTATGGGCCTATGGTGTGGGATTGTATGGGTCTATGGGTGGGTGATGATATTTTTTTAAACTGGGTTGCCTTCTTTCCTTCAAGAAGATCTGATAATATTGCGTTAAATACAATTGAAAATACAAAAATCACCAAAATTCTAAGAGGGTTTTTAATGAAACATGTAATATTGATATATGTGACATAACAATTTTTTCTTGGTAACATTTCCCTCTTCTAATATATCTGATATTTCAGACATACCTATGAATATGATAATATTTAACAGGTTTCACGAAACACAAAGTATAGCAATTATATAAGATACTGTTATGAAAAAGACTATATTTTACGGATGTAAAACACTTAATACGTCAGGCACAATTACTGTGCGATGTAAACGTTCAAAATGAATTTACAGAGAGAAGTTGAACGCGTTGTCGGTTGAGTCATTAAACTGCCTCGACGGAAGCAATCTTTGCTCAACACTTCACACCTCGTGGGTAATTTGGTGAGCAGATTAACTTTTGATGGAGAAGATTTACGGGTAATTAAAATTATATTGACATTTCCGATAAAATTGAGATTTCACAAATTTATTAAAGGTAAAATTAACAACTTTATGATTACATCCCATACTGTATTTAAAAATGCAGATTTTGTATGTAAAGCTAAAATTCGATTATCGATTGAGATTGGACCAAAGGTTACGTAACAGGCTAGGAAAACGATGTTTACGTTAGCATCATGATAGTTTCTGCACATTACTGGTTGAGTGCAGTATTTAATTCGATTGCCGTTAACACTTTCACCACGTTCGATATCTTTAACGTCACTACCAGAAACAAATATATATATTGATAACATACACAAATCATACATACAAAAATAATGTTTTGTGTAAATAATTTTAAAACAACAAATTAACTGAAATTTCATATTTTTAAAAAAGGTGGCGTCTTTAATATTTCATTTTTTTATGTGCCTGTTAAAAGACGTTTTGAGCTATGTAGCTTCGTTGAATTTTTGTAACCTTGTCTCTTCGTAAGAGTGGTCAGTCAAACTAGCGGACTCCAGCTGATTTTACCGAACCGTTCTTATTTTACGACTTTCAGGTCTACGAAGAGGCCAAGAAATGACAAATACAAATATCTTTCTAGCGAAAAGTAGTTCTTTAGTAAAGTAAAACGTGAGACTCTTACCTCCCTGTAGAGAAGGGTAGATGAAGAAGCCAGGCTCTTGTACCCAAGACACAACTTTGACCATGTCTCTGACTGAGCGATCCACCACACACTGTAGCACAGCTGTACACCCCCTGGCAGCCCCTAGGACTTCAACTGCTACCTTATATGCCTGGGCTACAACTGTAACAGAAACATAAATGACTTAATCACTAGGTGATTCTTAAACCCGTTTAGACAGTATTTAATACTAGATGTTAAATAGTAATTTTTCTATCCGTTGGGATTAGATGAATGATGAATACTAAGTCAACTAGAGCAGGAGAAACTAAACATTGACAAATCTAGGTCTTCAGGTGATGACCACGTCGTTGAATAAGTTAAAATAGAGACCGAAGTTGCAGATGTGTGCAGAGCTATCCGTCTTCGGTGAAAACTTACTATTCGACTGAGTAGTAGTTTGCCCCGAAGATCGCTTATTCAACCTCGCGGCCATCACCCGAAGATTTAGATTTTACCATCTACTGTGACCGTGGAAGCCTCCAGGCATCTAGAATCTAGATTAAGGGACACTCTCGTACAAACTATAGATCTGATTCTGGATTTTTTAATCTTAAGGCATAACTCATAAGGGTACGTGTCATAAGCTAGTAAGTGTTAATTTTTTGTATCATACCAAACTGATACCACAAGCTAAATACATAGGAAGTTTAATCTAGGGAGTAATACTATTGCCTAAAACCTACTTCCTATATTTGAGATTTATCTGGTCTAGTGGTAAAACGCGGGACTCTGTCCCCGAGGTCCTAGGATCAAATACCGCCACACACCAATGAATATTATCTAAGTAATAATGCCACGACCTCTTGACCTGGCCCGAAATAATTTGAAAATAATGCCAGGCTAGAACCTGGAGGGCGAAAATTGGCGATTTACAGAAAACTAACAATCGACATTATTTTAGTTGTTTTTCTTGTACAAAAAAAGGTTTCCTGGATATTAATTTTTAACTCTCATTTATAGATGGTTTGTTTTTGCTACCTACTAATTGATAACCATATTATAATTTAAAATAGCATTATTATGCAATCAAAAAATGGGGAGCTAGGGTCTTCGGAGCCAAGGTCCCAGTTTCAAATCCCGCCAATCACCAATTGATTTTATTAAGTGATAATGCCATGACTCACTAGAACTAACCTGAAGTTATGTGTAAAACAGATCCGTGCTAGAGCTAACAAAAAACAGACAATAAACGAGACAAAGAACTACTCTTCAACTAATCAAAGACATACAGAGGTAACAACAATCTAAATTTCAACGCAAATAATACTCATTCCACCGTCCTTTTAAAAATATTCCAAGTCACTGCTTACATTTTAAAAGCCCCAGAACCTCATTTGACGATAGATGTGTGTACGAGTCCTCACAGTGTTATCGCTATATGGCATTCGTGTGTTGTAATGACAAGGGTTATCTCCCTGTAACAGCCACTCAGCCATCGCAGGGATGTTTTACGGGATTTAGGTCCAGATAAACTGACTTGGGGGTTTTAGTGGTAAAGTGGTTTAAGGGAAAAATATATTTTAACGTATATTTAAGTTTGATAAATAAGTCCTTATGAAAAAAAAGCAACAAGATAGTTAGTATTTAAAGAAACTTAATTCATTTTCAGTCACACAAATTTTATTGTACCCAAACCAGCCTCGATTGTAATATTCCAGGTTGGTTAAGTTTGATGGGATTTTATAGCTTTTACCTTATCCCGAGGAATTATTGAAATTTAAATTGCTACGGTACATTAAACATTTAGTCTTAATGTTATATGAATATGGCCCTAATGAAAATTACTGAGCATCAGTTGCTTTTAGCGAATTTCCCATATAGGGAATAAGCTATTACCGTAGGTCTCATGGTAAGACCTAGACCCGGGACCGATTTACTTTTTCGTTTTGAGGTCCCCAGAGGCCAAAAACACCATCCGTTAAAATTCATATACATATATATATATATATATTTATTTATATATGTGTCCGTTAGCGCGATAACTCGAGCAAAATTTATCCGATTTTGATGAAATTTGGTACAAACGTGTAAACCTACATTTATTCGAACGAGTTCGCGAACCAGCATAATCGGACCATGGGATCATTGGTTTATGGGGGGTTTTATGGGGTAAAAATGGGTTTTTCTCATTTTTGACCCTAAAAACTTTAAATTTCTAAATTTCTCTCTAGACCATTTTGAAGAGCTTAAAAAAACAAATAATTTAGTATATTGAAGTTTTTTTGAATGTTCATTGACTACGAAGAAAATTTAAGAAATTGTAAATTTAAAATTCCCATGTTATTCTTATGGAGAATAAATAAACTGTTCTAGTTTGCTTGTTTATGGATATATTTCAATCAAATTTGGCAATTTGGCTTATTTCATACTAAGCTATCAATATTTCAATTGAAAAAACACACCTCAACATCTTTCCCGTAGCAGCAAACCTAACTACTCACTAAAATCAATGTTATTTAAATAGGAAATAAATCTGAAAATTTATAGGGAATATTTTAGTAGAAATCAAGCCGGGTGAATGGAAATTCGCTTAGTATGCAGGTTTGCTGCGACGGGGTATTTGAACTAATCATGTAGGAACATTTCCATATCTTTTTTCCTCTTGTACCTTAACCTTTTTTTCCTACACCTTTTTATGTTCCTTAACCCTCAGGAGTTTTCTCCCCAGTAGCTTGTCGTAGGCTTTTTACGTTTTGGATTCAGAAAACTCTTAATTATTTGTGGACACAATTTCAAGAACGACATTAATAAACATTTACTTAAAGATTACAAGTCCTTGACAGTTGTTGATTTCTTGAGTCGGTTGTCTTCAACATCAATCAGAAACCATTGAACTTAATATTAATTTCCATCCTTACAAAACTAGATAAATTATACTACTTCTCACCTGCTCTAACTTGTACATCCCTGCTGACTATCCTCCCAACAGCGTTCTGCGCGACGCAGCGGTACACAGTGTTGTGGATGTCCTGCCGGTACGCCTCAGCACTGAAGGGCAGCAGCACCAAAGTCCCGTTCCTCAGCACTCGTCGTACTCCAGGCACGTCAGACACGCTGTTGCCATCTACTGACAGCCAATCCAGGGCTGGAGGAGGGCTGCCACTAGCCGAGCAATCCAACCAACCTCCGCTGCTGTTGCTGAACTCCAGCTTGGTTGGAGGCTCCATTAGGAAACTTGGACCTCTCAGGTGGCTGAGGTCTCCGGCGGCGAGGGAGATCAGGATCCCTGAAACAGAATTTTCAAAGTGTGAGATTCTTAGTAGATTAAACATCAAAATGTTGAAAATATTCCGCGTGTAAGGGCCTTACAGACCAACCAACTCCATTGGAGAGCGCTACAAGCTAAGCTCATCAAAATATTTTAACGAAAAGACTGATAGTAAGGAAAGGATCTTGTTCTTGAATTCGTAAACCATGCCATGGAATGAATACAAAAGGCTAACTGCTGAGGATTGGTGATGTTGAAATCCATGAATGCCCCAAAACATACTTTGGGGACTTAATTTTTTAATTTTTGGATCAATGAAATATAACTTTTACATGCTCAAACATGTTAAGACTAATATGCATGAACAATGAGTTTTGGACGTATGAGAAGGTGTTGATGATGAAAAATATCTTCTTAATCTTCGTCTTCCTTTTCTTGATAATTCAGTGGGCTGCAAAGATAATATGGCTGTTTTAAGACTATATCCTCTTCAGCCAAATGGATCAGCAATTTCTTTAGTCAGCAGCATTGATCAAAAGGTCAAATGTCCGGGTGGTCTAACAGCTGCTCCCAGTATCAAACCATCAACAAGTAAGAGACATTTCACAGAATTAAACTGACACCATTCTGCATTGCAGGCTAGCACCATAACACCTCGGCTACTCTGTGTGTGGATAAGAAACATGGTAGTAACTATTCTACTGAACGAAATATGCCAATACTTTGAGTAAAGTCATTTAAGCATAGAATCTAACGCAGAGTTGTAACCAGTTTAAATTTTAAAATAACTTATCAAAACTGATGGATAATAGAGTACTATGATACATTTCAAACCAAATAGTAACATCAAAAGATCTAAATAAAAATGTAATTAATCCAAAAAAAAAACTTAGAAAAGACTTTCCACAGCTTGGTTTTATATTACTAATATTTAAAGAAATTATTTTGGCACCTTTGACAATTTTACTACACTGCACCGCTTATGAAATGTTTGCCAGATTTATTTGAAAGAGACTCAGTAACTCGATCAAACAATGAAAACAATGAGGAGGAAAGTGAGAAGTTAGTTCCCACACAACTCACCAGGGAGCGTTCACACAACTTGTCGTTCTATTGTTCCGTGTCCAGCATTATCCGAAAACTTTGAACATTTTTATTGTTTCGCTTCCACCAATACTTGAACTGAGTTCTTGAGAAGTTGAACAAGAGGTTTCAATTTACCATACATTTCGTGAACAATAAAAATACATCAAAATTGGTGAATTATCAGCAAGTTTTGTGCCTTTATAAGAATTAGGTGGGAGTTAATTGTTTTAAGGGATACAGCTAAAAAATGTTGTGTAGTGTTTCTTCAAAGGATGAAGGATTTTTCAATAAGCTTTTGCAGGTTAAGCATATTACAACACACTTAGTTCCATAATTAAATTTTACTACAGCCATCTCTCTAAAAAGAGTATGTTTTTAAAAGAACAAATTAAATTTTAAAATTTAAAAATACTTAAAAGCTTGAGCAGACTATAAATATTCCTCGAATATGAAATAACTTGAAATATAATGGTATAAACATGGCAATGTTTCTATACTGTCGACTCCAAGTGTAATATAAAATTTAAAACTTAAGGTAAGACATGAAGCAAAAACATTTCGTAATTGTATGATCATAGAGAAGGGATAAAAAATTAACACATTTTCATAACACACAAATATGAGATGAATGAGATTTTAAATAATTTTAAATATATGGTAAATATATTCAATTATGAGGGAAGAAAAAATTATAAAACAAGAAAGTCAAGAAGTCACATTAGATAAAAAAGATAAATAATGAAACGTTAGGTTAGGTTAGGTTAGGTTAGTTTGGGTTAGGTTAGGTTAGGATAGGTAAGGTTAGTAGGTAAGGTTACACAAGGGATACAAAAATATAGAAATAGTGAATACTCGATAGTTAATAAACATACATGGGAAGTGCGATACAATTATTAAATAAATTAGGAGGTGAGATTACAGGTGTGAGCTGTGAGATGTAATATGAGATATGAGATCACACGTGTAAGATGTCAGATGAGATGTGAGATGAGTAGAGGTAATGGAAGGAGTTACAAGTCTCGAAATTGCAGGATCACTCACTCGAAACGTAATAAAGACACAGAAGAGTTTCTTCCGATCGACTCTTCACTCTTATTTTTTACACCATTGTGTTTCTTGTTCATTTTCAACCTCATCTTTAAGATTTTGAAGATTCTTTTTCTTTTTTGTACATTTTAAAAATTGATTATTTCATGGAAACTCTAAATGACAATGAAGGCTTAGTAAATCTTGGATGACATGGTTTAATTACTCGATTAATCTATTTAAATATTATCGATAGTTTTAACTTTAAAACTTGCTAGCTAACATTAATTGAAACAAATTTTGTTTTTAATACTTTTTATGCAAGTAAAGTTGAAATCAAACATATCAGTTGTTTTACAGCTTAATATACAGGGTGGCTGAAAAGTAACTTGTACCTTATTTAACTATTTAAGTTATTTGAAATCGGTTTGAGGCAACCTTCTTAGATATGAAAGGCTACAATAATGATGACTAATTTTGAAAAATAATCCCTTTAGGCCAGTGGGGATAGGGGTAGCTCAAAATTTTCAAATGGGAAGTATAGTCAACTTGTTATAATGTTTTATTTCTATTTCGATTATCATTATTTAGGACCCCTTAAAGATATTAAAACACTTTCCATCTTTAGAAGATTTTTTGGGGTAGCACAACCTAATTTTGGTTAATTTGCCTGGGCTAACGCCTTTGGGGATACGTATACAGCCCACTTGATTTTGAGAACATTGAAATCTTTCATTGTAAAACGTATACATAAAAGTACTAATTTCCATTAATAACAACAAGTCTAGTCTAGAGGTAGCATCATTTTACCAATCATGGGAATTTCAATATTTTATTTTTTTATTAGATGACCATTGCAATACTGAAAAGACACAGGTTGCCCCAGATTAAAACGTTTTGAACCAAAAGAGTTGGACAGTGATGACAAATTCACCAACGAAAACTATACTATTAAATACAACGAAGTGAGATGTGTTTAAAACTTTTGCTGTCAGTGATTTTGACTTGATATACTATAACAATGGTGAATGCTGGTGTAGGTGGGTACAAACTTTTATTTACCTCATCTTAAGTCGGTTACGACAAACAAATATTAGGCTATAAATTATTCACTAAATGCACTAACTTTACACTCATCATCCAATCTTTGACAATGTTACCGTTATATAAATTGGTTTTAGACTGCAGTATGATACAACCAGTAAAAGATGCCAATAAGATGAGATTGGGATTTCTAAAACAATAACAGCCCAAATTACTTTTTGATGAAAAAGGAAAGATATTGAAGAAAAGGAAGACAAATTTTCTCATGGAAAGGTTCAAACGAGACTGTTGGGGTCGGCGATTCTCCGTCTCATGAATCGACAATGAAACGTCTCATTCCGCCCTTTTGTGGTTTCCTTCTGGATTAAAACTATTCAGGACCTCAAGCTTGTAATAGGATTTGAACAGAAAACCTGTATAAACTTACTGTTACATTATTTTACATAAGTTTACCTAAAACCTAACACAAACGACAGATATTCATGTAGGGTTGAGAGTTTTTTTAAGTAATTATATTACTTAAATTTTATGGTAAAGCTTTGATAACAAGTTTATCACTTCAATAAGCACTGAGATTTTTTGATAGTAAAGATGGTTTGTGTTATGATCTTCAGGGAAATCTAACAAAGCATTACTGATCCTTACCAATACGAGGATGTAGTGGGTTTAGCAGGCTGTATGAAAAACATTTAATTATATCCACAGATTATAAAAAATCCGTGTTTCATAGCCAAAGTTGATTGTTTTAGGCTTAAGTGTATTTCTCAAGGCTACTTTTTTTTGCCAAAAGGTACAGTATTCCTGGTCCTTTAACCACCATATAAACTACGGTAATAACTAGTTAAAATACGCACCTAGGTGGCGTAACCATCTCAATTGATTGATTTTTTTAAAATTGATAGTTCCCTACTAAATAATTAACTGATTTAGATTTTCTTTACATCCTTAAAAACTTTGCAGAGCCTTTATGACACAAACCACGTCAAGGATTTACTTCAATTGCAGAAAAATTGTTGTTTGTACATAGTTATAAAAAAATATTTGTTCTCGCGGCTAACCACTCATGTGTTTTTCAAATTCTAAATGCACTTGAGGAGCTCATTCTACTGCACCGACGTCAAAAACAGGAGTATAAGGAGAAATTTAAGGTAGTTTCTTTACCCCGGTGGTTCTAACTTAGACTCTGTTGAGCAAGCTTATGGTCATTCCATTAAATGAACCCCCGTGGTCAGATCTACCCCGCTGAGCATCCATTACTGGACACAGCGTGGGTTGTATGAAATATAAATTATACAAAAATATATTGTAGTTTATGTATTGTGTAAATAATGATACAAATTGTACAAACTTGTTTTTCTTCTTTTTTCACTTCAAGTAAAATCAGTTTATTTAGGAAAAATACAATTTATTATGAATGAAGAAAACAGTTAAAATAAATTCAAAAGTTGAAAGAATAATTTCGCATAGTTAGCTGAATCCATACGATGCTATATCATTTTGCAGTATGGTTTGATTTAGATTTGTGAAACTAATTTAAAGATAACCGCACGCTCTCTAAAGACTTATGTAAGTATTTTTGAAATAGAAGAATTATGTAAAAAAAAACTATAAACAAATTAGCTTATGAGTAAACAACCATGAATATAGTTATAAAGTGATAATTAATAACGACTATCGATGTAATGACATGTGTGATTGTTTAAATACATTACAAACGCCAAATATAAAGCATCAAAAGCAAAATTCTCTTTGTGTCTGTTTTATCAGTAACTCAAAGATAAACATTGACACACGATTATTTTAATAAACGTATAACTGCTGATATATTTTGTTTGAAGTACAAAATTGCAATTGCTATTTGA